ATTCCCCTCCAGTTCCCACAGGTTAATAGTTGTTCGGGCAGTCGTTCGCGATGCGGAAACGCAACTGGGGCGAGTTTGGTGGGCCTTCTTGTTGGTTCTGGATCTGTTTTGAGCAGAGTTTCGCACTCCACAAACAAAATTCCCCTCCAGTTCCCGCAGGTTAACAGTTGTTCTGCCAGTCGTTCGCGATGCTGAAACGCAACTGGGGCAAGTGTGGTGGGCCTTGTGTTGGGTGCTGGGGGTCTGAGAGGCGGAGTCTGGCGGTCTCACGTCGTTATCCGTCTATGATGTTGCCCGGCGAATTCATCACGTTCGCCGGCATCCGAACTTCGCATGAAGGCCTTAGACGGATTTGAACAAGTTTGGATATCGGCGGACTAGGTGTGCGTGAACAGGATTTGAAAAACTGTCGGCGATTTCGTCTGGTTCGCCCGTCTCCGGATTTCACACAAGCTTGAGCACGACGTGAAGAAGTGCGGATGCCGGCGAACTTGTCGTGTGTTCGTGTAGTCCATTGTCATGTTCATCCGTTGTTGGTACATGTTCGGTGTGCCTTCTTGTTGGATCGGGGCTTGTGAACTGCAGAGTCCAGCAGTCAACAATCCGTCTCACTGTCAGTGACTCTCTTTATCATCGCATGCCGTTATCAGCCCTCGCCGAATGCTTGCAAATTCTTTTAGTTCGCTGAGATCCGAACTTCGTACAGATGCCTTTTTTCTATGTTGATTTGGGTGCCGATACCGTTGATGTGTTGTGGTGGTGCGTGGCATGTGGGTCTGCGGAAAACAGACCTCTGTACTGGGGCGGGTAATTTATGTCTTCCTTGTGTTGTGTTGTTTTGGTATCTTGGACCGATCCAGACACAATGTCGACGTCACCGGGCGAGGAGCAGCCGACCGGCACCTCAGGGAGGGAATCACGGACCCCCAAATTGTGGTCCTATCATGTGCATACCAAATGGTTTGTCGATTGGTGCTGCGGGGATGAGTCCCAGCCGACCAAACCTCCGTGCGGTCCTGTTATATTCCTCGAAGACAAAAAAAGGCGTAGAGTTCTTGGGGCGGTGGCAAGATGGCACCCTGCTAAAAAGGAAAACACGCAACATTATAAGTTGCACACTGTTTACAGTTTGAAGGACGATGTTGTTGCCAATTCCAAAGGGGCGGTTTGTCTTTCGACCTGTTCCAGGGGTTTGGGGCGGGGGCTGTGAAGACCCCTTCCTACCAAGATATCGCAGTGGGAGGTGTTGTTTTGGCACGGGAGTTTTTTGACTTGGTGGAGCAGAGGAACATCGACCTGGAGGAACCCTGCCACGTTCGAGGCGACCAAGAGTTGTCGCAGCCTCTTCAGATGTGCACCGGCTTCGAATCCAGTGGTGCTCCCTCGGAAGGGGGAGATTTGGGTTTCGGTCCTTCTCCCCAACTCCACCGGATCGAGGCCCGTGGTCGCTTCGACGACAGCGACGACGAAGAACAGGAGCAGACGCGGCCTACGCCGCCAAGGCGGGGAGACCGGTCTATCCTGAGTATTTCTGGGGTGGAAGGACATCCGGGGGGGAAGAGGAGGGTATACAACAGCCTGCGCATAAGAGAAGGGGAGATCCTCAGGAAGAGGGTGGGGGGTTTGCAAAGAAACGTAAGGCAAGGACCCCCCAGACGACGGGGGGGGAAAGGAAGGGAGTTGAGGGGCAGGTGCCAGGAGGGCACATCGGGTCGGAAACGCCCGACGTCGGTGCGGAAACAGCCTCAGCCGGGTGCTCTCGAGGCGAAGGGTCCGAAGGGTCCCATCAACATCGACGCCACGTACTTCTTCGAATGGAAAGACGGCGTGCGGACAAAGCGGCAGTTCTTCATTAGCCCATCGCGGGTCGTCGAGATCGGTGATTGGGAAGCGTCGTACAACCAACGGTCGCTGGATCATGTGCACACGCAGCTCATCATTGACGCGATGATGATGGCCTTCTTGCAAGCCGAGAAGACGTACGAGTTGACTACCCTTAAGCTGGCACCACTAGGGCTGGAGAAACCGAAGTCCGGCGTGCGAGCGGATCGTCTGAAGCCAGAGGGCTGGAAGGACGAGCTCGCAGGCCAATACTATTATTACGCTGTTTCCGGACAGCACAACGCGGCTGCAGCCAAGGCGCTGCTCGGCACGGACGTCGCATTGAGGCACAACTTCGAGAGGTGGCCTGCGCATATGGCTTACTTCTCGGACGAGGAGTTCAAAGGGTATTTTCTGGCCAGTTCGGAGGACAACAAGAAGGACTTGAAGGCGCCTCCTAGACAACTGAAACTATCAATGAAGGACATTCAGTGGTTGTGGAAGGAAAAGGGTTTCCCAAAGGCTGTTATGGGGAACCCCAGCGGAAAACAAGCTCAGGTGCAGAAATGGCATGAGTTATGTGTGCAGGCGCTTCACAAAACGCCTTACTACCACTTGTGGATTCTCGCTGATGAGAAGGGCGAGGACAATATTAAGAAGCAAAACGCTGCCCTTCGCTCTTATTTTCCGCTGGTCATGGCTGGAAAAAGCACGTGGGAGCTGGGTATGGAATTTTTCGAGAAATGGGAGACGGGGAGACTTCTGGCACAAGGGGGCGAAGTGGATCACAAAGAAAAGGAAAGTGAAGGACGTCAGGCCCGGCGTTAGCCACAGCGAAAACGTGAAGTTGGGGCGCAAGGAGGTTGCCGTCGAGGCGCCCCAAAAGAAAGGAAAGAAGGAGAAAGAGCCTGGCGATTGGTTTGTCCAGGTCACCGAGCCAGATCCGCACTGCTGGAAGAGCATGGAAGCCCTTACCAACAACGAGAAATGTCAGTTGCTCAAGAAGCTCCTCAACTGTGAGGTTGTGTGGGTGCAAACAGGCTCCGCTTCATTGGCGAAGCAAGGCAAGTTGGGAGTGCAAGAAGCAGTGCACCTGCTGAAGTGCGATCGCATCTTGGTGCGACTGTGGAACTACTATCAGTTTGTGTACGAGAACCAGGTGGATACAGACTGGACACGTGGGTATCCCTTCTTGAAGAACCGGGAGGCGATTTTGGTGGAGTTCGAGAAGCAGGGAATGGATGCCGCGTTGTGGGACGGGAGCAGGAAACTCGTCGGTGACGCCTCGCTGTTCAAGGACTGCCCGCCGTACATGGGGTGCGAGAACGACAAAACGATCGAGGCGGCGGAAAAACTCGCCCGCAACAAGAAGTTGTCTACCGACTGGAAGAACAAGGTCCTCTCCGTGCTGACCGGTAGTAGGGCGAAAAACATGGAGGTCGCGCTTGTCGAAGGCGTGGTGCACGTTCTGTGGAAAGACTCGGGGGACGTGACATCGATCGCCCCGTTCGGCGTTGACCCTCTGGAGGCGCAAATGAGGGTCACGGAGTTGGAGAAAGCGGTCGGGACCACCAAATGCCACATGTGCGTTCTCGATCTGTGCGAGCCAGTGGACTTCAAACACTGGACGCCGAAAGCTTTCGAGAGTTTAATTCCCTCCTAGAGCAATTGTTTCCGTCACACTGGACGGTCGTCGCTTTCGTCCCTCGGCAATGGGACTACTCCTTCATGACCGGCCTGCGCCATCTGCCCGTTGTGAAGGCAATGGCAGGGAAGTGGATCAGGGGGGCGTAGCAGAAGAAAAGTTTTCCAGTAGTTGTCGAGGTACATCAGAAAGTCACCCCGACAGACATATCGGAGACTCCCTTCGACCCTTGCGAGTGGTCGGCGGCCATCCCTGGAGTTGACAGGAAGGTCTACAAGGACATGGAGCGGAACCCCACACAATTGGCCCATCTGCTGGAATTTGTCTGCAAAAAGGGGGAGTGCATCATGTTCCTTGGTAAATCGCACGCGCGAGTCGTGTGGGAGGTTTTGAAGAGCGGTCGACACGTGGTCGCGCTAGAAGGGAATTCTCAGTTGTTGCAATACACGTTGGAGTTCCTCAAAAGCGAGGTCAACTCTGGAGCCAGCTGCTGCGAGTTCGTTTCGAGGAGCGAGAAATCAACACGCGTTCGGGAGCCATCTACGGACATGTGGTTCAAGTTGAGCGAGCGGAAGAGGAACAGGATCTACGAGTTCCTCTTTTTGGAAACGTGGCCCAAAAGGGCTGTGTAACCGTTTGAACGCCGTGAACGCGCGTTCGCGTTCAAATGTGCGTTTGAACGCGGATTGCGCGTTCGCGTTCAAAATTGAACGGCGTTCAATTATTTTTTTATTTTTTT